ACTTTTTTTTAAAGGTATCACTTTTTTTAAATACATTTTTAAAATTGATTTCAGAGAGGAGGGAGAGGGGGAGAAAGAGATAGAAACATCAATGATGAGAGAGAATCATTGATTGGTTGCCTCCTGCATGCCCCCTACTGGGGATCGAGCCCACAACCCAGGCATATTCCCTTGACCGGAATCAAACCGGGGACCCTTCAGTCCACAGGCCGATGCTCTATCCACTAAGCCAAACCAGCTAGGGCGTCTCTAAAAACTTTTAATGCAACATTTGGTTTACACATGGTTTGTAGGACTACACATCCATCTCATACAATAAAAACATTTTACCACTCTAAATTATGCAACACTTAGCATTTCAGTGAATTTAGTTTACATTTTCAGTGAGGTTGCAAAGTAACTCATCCCACACGTCTGCCATTCCCAAATGGTCAAACATCCCAAGAGTGTGTGTGTGTGTGAAGAGGGGGGAGGAGGAGTCTCTCTCTTTCCTGCAGTCTATACAAATTAAGTAGAAGGTAGAAGTGGAAGATAAACACATAAATAACTTGGGTTACAATTATTAACTAATAAACATATAAAGCTGACAAGCCCTGAACATACTCTGGATGCTGAGGATTGTATGAGCCAAGAAGGGATCATATTTACTATCTGATTTGGGGCCCTGTAGGAGAAACAAGTCAAGTCAAGGCACTCTGACTCCACAAATAGGAGAAATAGGAGGAAGAGTAGCAAACAACTTATGATTACTTATTCATGTTCTTACAACATGGAAAGCAACTCATTTAAAATTTAGTATATTAAGACTCAAACTTACTTAGCTCTTCTCCTGATCTTCAAGATCAAAAAATGGAGATTTCTGCAAACACCCTTCCGACAGAACATATAAAGCTGATAGCAATATTTTATGTCTTTATAGTTTGCAATAAACTTTTATGTAACTATTAAACTTGCTATTGAGTGCCTACCATGTGCCACTCAGTGCTAGTGCATAAGAAGACCATGAAGTTCTCAGTTCAGCAGGGAGTGAGGCATGAGGCATTGTCACAGTTACTATATGGTGTTAATACACTATGACAGAGGAATGCTCAAAGTGCTTTGATAGCACGAATACATCTTTATGTCTGTTGACTCGTTGACTGCCAGGTCTATTACACATATACTTTAAAAAGGTTTTATGGATGGGAAAGTGAAGGCTCAGAAAGAATAAGTGACTTGTCCAAGTTTTACAGCTAGTAATGAGCAAGCCAGAATTCAACAGTCAAGCCTTTTACTCCTAGAACCAGCACTCTTTCTAGTATACTCCAGCTACCATAAATACATACATCCTAATACCCTCATTATCACAAGATCATTTAGGAGATGCTTAGTGCATTAATCTTTCCTTCTTTTCCAAATTCTTTTTTCTATTACTCTAGTGTTTCATAGTTGAGTGAAAAAGAGGGATGATTAGGAATAGATCTTCCTTAGAATAACTGTGGAGGTCTTTTGGAGTACCTGGAATACTGAGCTAAGAGTTTCAAGGCCAGCCAGTACTTTTAGCTTAAGGGTCAAGTTACTCCTTGAATACAAGATAAAAAACATGAAGCCTCCCTGCTTTGCTTTCTGTTTCAGCAACCTTACCTCCTTTCCTCACAAGTGTCTTGGAAAATTTATTGAAATGAAGAACAATGGGCTCTGAATTTTTCAAAAAAGTATTAAAGCCAGAATAGCAGATGATCTTATTTAAGTCAGTGAGTTCCACTGTTCTCCTGAAAATCAAGAGGTATAAATGTTGAAATATATTTAAAGCAGAATTCAAGAAAGATTATTTAAGCTTTACAAGATTGACCTCATTTAGTCAAGATAATAGTTTTCACAAAAAAACTCGAGCCCTAGCCAGTGTGGCTCAGTGGATAGAGCACCGGCCTGCGGACCAAAGGATCCCAGGTTCGATTCCGGTCAAGGGCACGTACCTCAGTTGCAGGCTCCTTCCGGGCTGGGCCCCGACCCTGGTCGGGGTGTGTACAGGAGGCAACCAATCGATGGAAAAATATCTTTGGGTGAGGGTTAAAACAAAACAAAACAACAACAACAAAAAACTCTTGGGCAAGTAGTTCACAATGGCTCAGTTCATGGACTGACAACATGCCCCAGGGCCCAGCCCCTATCCCTCAGGAAGTCCTGCTTTAGACATTATAGGTGCTGGCATTTCTATTGTAGCAAACCAAAGCCAACAATGCAGTGGGACTGACAATTCTAAATCTGCTTTATTCAGGGGCCTGAGTCTCAGGGGAATGTTGCTCAATTATATATATTGGGTCTCATAGCCCAGGGTACAATTCCTGGAATCTCCTGAATATAGTATTTCCAGGAATTGGGATTAACAAGTGCTCAATAAATATTTGTTGACTTGTTGCCAGGTCTATCACATATATTCTTTAAAACTGCATTTCTAGACAAAGAAATTCGCTGAAAAAGGTATAAATTACTTGGGTGTCCTGTAAACACAGGCACAGAAGAGTCAGAGAAAGGAATTCGAGAGGTAGAATTGAGCAATGTTTTGAAATGTATAAATAAATGATTGCTACATGTGATCAAAACAAGCTGTAGCACAAACCTAAGAAGTCCAACTAATTAAGGAGATGACGGCACAAACAGGTGTCTTTGCTGGTTGTTTACAGTTAAAACTGTTTCTGAAAACCTCGTTTCCAAGTTATGATTACTCCTTACAAAGAAAACACTGGCCTTAGAAACACCTTGCAATACGGCTAAGGACAATCATTAAGGAGGAACAACAACTAGAATACAAATCTCATTCTTTTTTACACTATACTCTGATTCCACTAGTTGATAAAACATGTAAGTCAGGATGATTCTGGCAGAGAATGACTTACCCAAGGCCATTCCCTAAATCAGAAACTTAGAAGAAAACCAGTTAGTAGTTCAGCTTTTTTTTTTTTTTTTTTTAAGCAACATCACTAGGAATGTCATCAACACACTAAGGATTAGTTGTCCCTAGATCAGGTTCAGAACTTTAGTAACTGCAGGCAGCAAAGAGAAGCTGGAGTGAAGGAAAACTAGGATGTTGTGATTTCCCCAGGCTTAATATGGGAAGTAAGGAAAGAACTCTAATTCCAGTTCTGGGGCTAGATTTCTTTATGATCTTAGGAAAGCCTGGTGGTCAGTTTCCTGATGTGTTAATGCTGCTAAGGTTAGGGAATTTGTGATTAACTTGGAACTGGTTCCTTAGCTTAGAAAATTAACTCTTGAAACTGAGAACCGAAGATCTCAGTGTTGGTAAACGAAGATATTTAAGTTAAATCTGGTAGAAGCCAGCATGCAAACACATCGTTTAGAAAAAGTACTTTGCATATGCAAAACACAACTTTATAATTTAGAATATATAAAACTCCATAACTTAAGAAAGTCTCTTACACTTTGAAACCCACTCATGAGAAATATTTATTTGTGACTTGGCACACCGTAAGCACTTCATAAATGTTGGCTATTATTATTGCCCATTCCTATGTTCTTATACAATTTTTAAGAAGGAAATTTTTTTGACAGATTCCCATATTCTTTCTCAAATGGCCTGAGGAAGAAGGAAATAGCCCAGTGCAATGAGGAAGTATAAAGTGGCAACAGGTGGAGGTTAACCAAGGTTCTAGACTCCTGGACCTTAGTGCTTCCCTTTTGTGCCCTAAATGTTGACTAAGATGTCATTTTTCAGATGCTATTTGTCCTGATGGTGCATAAACACTGTTTTTTGTTTGTATTTAAGACAAATAACTGTTACTATATTGAAGTTGACAGCTAAGAAAGAATATAAAAATGCTGAAAAAAATGTATAATGTATAATTGCTTTACCAATGGGCAAAACCCTTAATTCAGCATGGTCCACTTTGTCCTAGATCCTGGAAGAGAATCCAAGATTATACTCTGAAATATGCGACCACTTACTTGTTCTAAATTTCTCCTTGAGGGTATCCAGATCCTCCTTCAGAGCAACTTGCATCCACACCAAGCCCACGCAGGCCACGACACAGGCGGCAAGGATGACAAAAGCACAGAGGGGATAACAGATCTTGCAGCATCGTAAATAGTCTCCCCTGATCACAAGAACAAATTCAACCAAGAGTACAAAGGTGATTATGAGCACAACTTTATTAGAAATAGCATTCCTGTACTGCTATGCAATTATGTTTTTAAATGAATAAGCAGTTGATTTACCAGGGAATATCGAGTAACATAGTTAAATCTGAACAGCAAGTTGAAAATAACCAAGTAATATGACCTATGAAGAGGTCATCTATCCAGTACAAAAGTTTAAAACTTCACATGAAACAGAGGACTTCCTGTGGGCCACAGGAAGCACCTGTGGGAACTGCAGCTCACTGCAATCACGACCAATTCAAGTCTTTGGAAACAATCTCAGGTTCGGAAAGTGCCAAGACCAGGGCTTCTCTGCAATTCCATCACTGTACTGTAATTTACCTACCTGCCTCTGTCAAATGCATGCTCACTCCAGGGGACCCTGTTTCAGTTTATTGAAACTTCATAAACTTTTGAGCAAGTTTTACTGCAAATGGAATGAAAGAAATAGGAACTGTAGGGTGAAGTGGACACCTGGTACACTCTAGCTATCGGCTTAGAAGAAAGGAAGCATAGAAAGGAATTAGATTTCACACCAAATTTCAACCAACACTCAGGTCTAAATTAACCCAGAAGGGTAACTATTCCAGTTGAGCTATTCCATTTCATCAGATCTGCACAACCCAAACCTAGGGTTGTCCTTAACTACCTAATCTGGCAAAGCTCATTAGAAGCCAAATCCTTCCTTTAACAAAATAGGACAAAGATACTCTAAACCAGCGGTTCTCAACCTGTGGGTCGCGACCCCTTTGGGGGTCGAACGACCCTTTCACAGGGGTCGCCTAAGACCATCGGAAAATACATATATAATTACGTATTGTTTTTGTGATTAATCACTATGCTTTATGTTCAATTTGTAACAATGAAATTGGGGGTCGCCACAACATGAGGAACTGTATTAAAGGGTCGCGGCATTAGGAAGGTTGAGAATCACTGATCTAAACAAACTCAAAGGATTCAACCTCTTTTCGAACCCCAACCTTCTGCCTAGCTAGCCCTTGCTTCCACATGCTCAGCAGAATATCTTTTCTTTTAATGTAGTCCCTGAGAGGGTCCAAGGCACCTTCCAGGTTCCCTCCAGCCCTTTCCCAACCCTGAGCCCTAATTCCCAATGTCCTCAATACTCACTACTGGATCAGTCTAGTGGTTGCACCATTTGAAAGTGGGTTTGGGAAAAAGCTGCCTCTTCACTTTGTCCTCCATGCTCCATTACTCTCAAGGCTCGTACAGTATGTCCCTCAACAAATTCTTCCATCACTAAGATTCAGATTCACAAGAGCGCAAAAATAAATAAATAAATAGTTTACAGTCTTAAGGCCCCTATCTTGGGGGACCTTAAAAAAAGGCTACTTCCAAAACCTTGTCTGCTCCTATGTTCCTATTCTTAGCTTCTTTGCTCCTCCTGACTTGGTGTTCCTGGGCTCCTGGCATCTTCCTCACATCCACACTTCCACCCTAGGTTTAGAGCGCTTTTTTGTACACTTACAGACAGATCTCTAACTTATCCTTCATTGAGAACCTGAAGAAACAACTTTTCTCCCTCTTTGCCTTCCAAGGACTACACCGACTGATTTTTCCCCCCCCTAAGAACTCCCTTCTCCTCTTCAATTTGCCCCCTTGGTCGTGCAAGGAGCTGTCTTCTCCCCATCCCACCCCTCACCACCGCATCACTCACTTGACAAAGCGAGAGCGATTGCCAACTACACCGAACTCCTCTTCTTCCTCGGAGCTGGACTCGGAGTCCGAAGCAGGAGGCTCAGTGCGAAGCAGGCGGTGGCCCGAGCCTTTCTTGGGCTTCTTTCTCCGGCTCTCCCCAGACAAGCCAATCAATGCATTGAGCTCTTTGCGCTTTTTCATCTTCTTGTGTGGGGTGAGCGGAGCACCCACGCCGGAACTGCCAGGTTCGTACCCGAGGCCCAGCTCTCTTGCTACCTTGGAGCTGCCTTCCAGGGTGGGGGATCCTGGGCCAGAGCCCCCTGGTCACTCCCACCCAGGGGTGGGACTGACCAGATCCGCTGGGAGCTGGAGACTGGAGCCCAGAGGAAACTGGAACTGCTGGGTGGGGGAAGTCACATAGATAGGGCCGGGGAGATGGTGATCCAAAAAGTCCTGGGCATGAAGTGTCAGTTAAGAGGGTGTGAAGGGGATAAAAACCAAGCCAAGAACGAGCGACGCTCAGCCCTGATAAGTAGATAATGTTCCTAAGGGTGCTCCGAGAGCTGGGGAAGGGCACACGGACGGGTGCTCTGGGCTTCCGGGCAGGATTTCCAATGGAGAGAGAAGAGAAACTTGTTCTTGAACGGGAGGCAAGGGAGAGGCGCACAACCAGACAGTGCGAGCGCGCCCGTCCCTCCTCAGCTGGAGAGGTGGCAGCAGGAGGGGCTCCCGGTTGCTACCGTCCGGACACAGTCGGGGAGACAGCCAATGTCCGGGTCGGCGGTGCTCACTGTCCTCCGGCCTTAGTTTGCAGGAAGTCCAAGACCGAGGAAAACCCAAAGGCCGGTACGGAGGGCTCGGCCTGGGAGGAGCCAGTCCCGCGCCCCGGGAGACCCCAGCCCCGCTGTCTGGGCCTGGGGGCACGGTGCGGGAGGGCGACGGCGGCTCTGCCCACCTGAAGAGCTCCCGCCCGGAGTTTGAGATGTTCCGGCACCGGCGACTCTTGGCAGCTCACAAGCGCCTTCTTCGCTCCGTC